ACGTGTAGTGATCAATTGGTAGTTTTTGTGACTAACAACTACGGTAGATTTTTACTTCTTTTTTTTTTTAAATAACACAATGGACTGTACTTACATTTATTTCATAGAAGCTGTACTTTAGTTCCACCAATACATTTTTTTTTGCTAGTTTAACACTGGGAAATTGCTGATCAGAATCCTGATGTTTCTTTATTGTCCAGTCAGTAGAATGGTAGCAAATTGTGACCAATCTGTATTGTTTAAAAGGAAACTTTTTTTTTTGTCAATTAAAATTTTTTTTCTTGTAAAGCTTGTATAATACGTTTATTTTATACATAATAAAATTATTTTAAAAATAAACATTTAATATAGGATGCACCCATGATACTGGTGGTACAGAGCATTATGAATTCTCTAAATCACTAGAGCACATAACAATGGGTAGAGGGACAAGTAGTCTAGAACTGTTCCCACTGGCCAGACATGTAAATATGAAATATTCATATATTTTTTTTTATATTAAGTTGACCAAACAAAAGGTAAACCATCTTTCAGCTTTAAAAAAATTACAATAAAAAAAAAATATGATGGGGTCTACTTATTTTCTCACACAAGATTCACACATTTTTGCAATTGACATCAAAGAGGAAAAAGTGAGAATTGTGGATGAATGTTGAAAGAATCTTGTGTAAACACAAAATGAGGTTCCTAGTGACCAACCTATGGCTCTTTGGCACATAAGCAGCCCATACATGAATCAGTTTTCATTCAACCAGTGGGTTTGTGAAAGGGGCTTAAGGTACCCTAGTGGGGACACTGAGAACTACACCTGCTAATTGCCTAAACACTGGGCAGGAGTTTGCGGTCATGTGGAATCAGCATTAAGGCCCAACTCCCGACTTAGAAGCAAGCCACAACTATCAAAGTTAACCCTCTAGTAACCCATGGCTAACTTGTACTGCTATCACAAAGACACCACTACAGAACACCACTTCCCAAGTGTGCAGCATTTAGGAACCAGTACCGCAAAGCCTGTATCAGCTTCCACCAACCCCGCAATTCCCATCACCTCCTTCCCAGTGACATGTCCATCTAATGCTACTTGACACAGGGAATGCACTACACTCTATAACTACATGCTTGCTTTCTCTCTCCCATGACCTCTAGGCTAGGTTCCTGGGTACACTGTGTCGCGGATCTGGTCCCAGAAGGTAGGGAACCAGCCACTAGTGAAGGTTCCAATTACGTAACCATCCCCCTATGCCAAGACACCCATTCCTTGACTGGTTGGCTGAATTTATCAGTGATGCATGTACCGTTGTCCCCAGCAATGACAATATAGCCATGCTAGACAGCAAACTACATACTAGACTAAAATGTGCTGTATCTACTTTAACCTATAGTCACCTTGATGAAAGCCGTGCTCTTTAGATACGTCATGCATGCACCCCTTTAGAGAGACTTCAGACCAGGCAATGAAAGAAACAGTCTTTACTGAAGTATTGCAAAACATACAGGAACAGTTCTTAAGGATCACCTCCACATATATTCCTGTAAAGGGGTTCTCTAGTGCCCATTGGGTAATCATACCGGAGTAGCAGCAAGTCCATAGTCGTTTAGAGGCTAGAGTCCATTAAGGCAAATAATCCACAAGAGGTTGCAAGTATCCTTAAAGTCGATGTCTGGCAATAATCCATAGAGGCAACAAGTCCATTGCTGGCAGCTAAGAATCTCTAAAACACTAAACAGCTCATCCACTCCCTCATCATATCACGACTCGACTACTGCAACTCCCTCCTCACTGGCCTGGCTCGCCGCTGGCTATCCCCGCTTCAGTCGATCCTGAATACGGCTGCCAGACTCATTCACCTTTCCAACTGCTCTATCTCCGCCACCCCCCTCTGCCAATCCCTCCACTGGCTTCCGATTGCGCAACGGATCAAATTCAAAATCCTAACACTGATGTACAAAGCTGTCCACCATACTGCCCCGTACTACATCGTACTACATCACCGACCTAATATCCAAGTACCGCCCAGCACGCACACTCCGCTCCTAACAAGACCTCCTTCTCTCTAGTTCCCTGGTCTCCTCCTCCCATGCCCGCCTCCAGGACTTCTCCAGGGTGTCACCCATCCTCTGGAACTCCCTGCCCCAACCCATCAGATTATCACCTACTCTCCTCTGCTTTAGGCGCACACTGAAAACCCATCTCTTCAGGGAAGCCTACCCCACCCCCTGCTAACTTGCCGACCTCCTCCACTCTTCCTACCACTCCATCCTCCACAGCTATCTCCTCCTGTACCACCATCCCCTCCCTCCTAGATTGTAAGCTCGAAAGAGCAGGGCCCTCAATCCCCTCATGTTTTGCATTGTATTGGTATTGTTCTGTCACATATTCTGTCCCCCTTTGTAATGTACAGCGCTGAGCGAACTATTGGCGCTTTATAAATACTGTATAATAATAGCAATAATCTCAGGAACCCTAACTGCCCCCAAAGGGGAACACAGTTCAGCAGAGTAAAAGCCTACATCTTGGCAATGGTTCAGCAAGAGCTCAATGGGGCACAAAAGAGCCCAATTTTATGTGGATCTCTAGAAAAGTGATGAGCAAATATAGTCAATCAATTCCTCAGGTCCACCACACAGTTGAGAAACAGAACAGTTAACACAGATAACTGCAGGACAGAGTCATCACAGCAGAAACTCTAACCCTTCTGTGGGCACCTGTCTAAGGAAAAAAAAAAAAAACAGATTTCCCAATCTATACATTTGATGTGGATGGGGAAATCCTTCTGCTGAGCTACTGAATCCTGACAGCATGGAGACCCTGCCATCAGAATACACTTAACAGCACTGTCGGCACTGACCAAGCGGCAAAATTCAGAATCCGATCCACTTCTGTACAACTACCCTGCCCATACATGGTTCAAAATATGTCAGTCCCTGCTGAACAAATTGAATTTTATTTCATGTATCCATGGCTGGCTTTAGAGTGCAGTTTGTGGGGCCCCACAAAGCTAGTTTGTGTTTTCCTTACCTAGGTTCTTATTGGGACCAGTCAAGGAAAAATATTTTTTTGACTGACTTCTAGTAGTTAAAGTATTTGGTTATTTCTTTTACACTTACATCTTACTTATTTTCTGCGCTTTCCATCCCTTTTCTGTTTTTTTTTCTATATTTATAATAGATTGTGCTTGAAGAAAAGAAATATCAAACGTGGCACAATAAATTTTTAGGGGAGCTGTAGGGAGCACAAACGTGGAAGCATTGATTTGCAAAGGTGATATAATAGCAATGATTCAATAACTTCTAGCAATCTCATATATAGTAATATATCTCTGGTATATGACCATCTCTTGAAGCAAGTTCCCAGTCTCCCAAAAAATCCTATAGCCTGTTCTGCAGTCTCTGACCATCTCTTAGAGTATGCTCATAGTCTCTGACCATCTCCTGTGTCATTTGAGGAATGTGGAAAGATAGCCCTGGACCTGTAGGTTTATTTTACTGGTATTGTTATCTTAAAGTGTTACTAAACCCAGAACAGTAAAATCAGTCTGTATATGCAGTAAACCATGCTTGTTATACTCACTGTGGAACCTAAGGGGTTTATCTTCCGCTTGTGTTAATCGGCTGTTTGATCCCATCTTCTCTGACTCTCCCCTTTTTCTACTGTCCCAAATCCATCTACCATAGTACAGAGCAACAGTGGCTAGTCTGCACATGCTCTGTTGGTGTGTATTGCTACAGAGTTTTTTTTGGGGGGGGGAGGGAGGAAGGGTGCATGTGATCAGCATAGAGCCAACCAGCGCTGTCCAGACAGAGGGTCAGGGGTCATGTAGCCTCATAGGACAGTCAGAGGAGAATGAAAACTCCTGCTACAATGTTAACCAGTGCTCGGCCAGACACTGATAGAAGTCACTAAAATAATTGCATTTCCATGTTCTGTGTACTGTGGAAGACCAGAAATAGTAAATGCAGGGTCCTGAGTTTAGTAACACTTTAAGGTATTAATGCTGGTGTAAATGATCTAGTTCTTGGGCAGACGGATTCTACACCCCAGAGGATCTCCACAGTCTCCTTGACTTGCAGTGCTATGTAAGAAGAGTTGAAATTAAAGCGCCATTCCACTGCTAGGAGCTCCCAGATGCAGCTTTATTCCATTAAAGGTCAGGGGTATAATTCAAAAAGTAGCCAACATGTTGTGGGAGTGCCAAACAAGCTGCCGATTAGGCCTGTGCTTTCAATTCACACTGGAATAAATACTATTTTAGGTCCAGTTCACTTCTGGTTTGTTTACGTTGTTGCCAGCCAAGTCCTGATGAAGGAGGCAATTGGACCCCTGAAACACGTTGGCATACCCCTGACCTTTAATGGAATAAAGTTGTATCTGGACCTCTCAGCACTTTAATGTGTGGCACTTTAATTTCAACTCCTCTCCTGTGTCATGTCTGCAGTGTCCTGAAAGCTTTCTGAAGCATTGCAGTCACTGAATATTATGTATGGCCCTTTTAGTGGTCACATTAGAGGGCTCCTATTCAAAAAAGCTGACCACCACTGAGTGAAGTCAACAACATCACTTTCCCGTGTCTCAAGACTAGCTTAAACAAATTTACACATCTTTTGGCAGATAATAATGTTTCTATAAATGTATTTCAACTGCGTAGTTAGCTGCTGTATTTCAACTCTAATATGTTTACCAGAAATGATTACTACTGTGATGAGGTAGGAATAGCTGTGCTCTTTTAGGCAAGTTCTTGGTCAAGATGGTGTATTCACTGCCGTTACAACAAAACAAGCACTACAAAGGTGAAAGCAGGCATTACATGTATCAATAGTATGTTTGATCTGGAGATATTGTAAAGTTTGTGACTTCCAAGATCGGTAAGTAGAGATGAGCGAAGTATTCAAAAATTCGATTCGGCTGATTCGGCGAATTCGAGGAATAAATTTGATTCGAGGCTAATATATTCGCTGCGAATTTAACTTTAAAAAGGGTGTTTCTAGGCTTCAGAGAGCCTTTATATTAGTGCAGAACACTGTACCTTTAATTTAAATGCCCTTGGAGTCTGCTGGGGAAGAGAAATAATACTGTCAGTCAGTATGACATGCAGATGAGTGCCGTCGATCTTAGAATCACCGCACACTTCACTCATTTGGGCAGTCACGGGGCCAAAACCAGAGTGTGGAGCCACAGTGTGGCGGTGGAGGCAGCAGCAATGGGAGGCCATACAGCACCCTATGACAAAATGGAACCCACCAGCAGTGTGAGGAGACCTGAAAGTGGGACATGGCAGAGTGTGGCGATGGAGACAGCAGCAATGGGAGGCCGTACAGGGACCCATGAGACACTCTGGACCTGGCAGCAGCATGAGGAGGCGGTACAGGGGCCCATGACAGATTACGAGCCTGGCAGCAGCATGAGGAGTCGGTACGGGGGCCCATGGCAGATTACGGGCCTGGCAGCAGCAATGGGAGGCCCGTAATCTGCCAGCACCCTATGACAAAATGGAACCCACCAGCAGTGTGAGGAGACCTGAAAGTGGCACATGGCAGAGTGTGGCGATGGAGACAGCAGCAATGGGAGGCCGTACAGGGACCCATGACACACTCTGGACCTGGCAGCAGCATGAGGAGGCGGTACAGGGGCCCATGGCAGATTACGGGCCTGGCAGCAGCAATGGGAGGCCCGTAATCTGCCAGCACCCTATGACAAAATGGAACCCACCAGCAGTGTGAGGAGACCTGAAAGTGGCACATGGCAGAGTGTGGCGATGGAGACAGCAGCAATGGGAGGCCGTACAGGGACCCATGACACACTCTGGACCTGGCAGCAGCAAGAGGAGGCGGTACAGGGGCCCATGGCAGAGTGGCGAAGCGTAAGCAGCTTAAATTGAAGGCCATACAGAGGCCTATGTTAAAAATAATAACATGTTTGGGGCATGATTCATGGCGGATTTAGTCAGTTGTGTCAGGAACTGGTGGTTTGAAATCCAGACTAATCCACGCCTGATTCATTTTCACAAACGTGAGTCTCTCCACACTTTGGGTGGACAGTCGTGTCCTTCGCGGAGTTACAATACCTCCTGCCGCACTAAACACGCGCTCCGATGCCACGCTACTGGCCGGGCATGACAGCCTTTCAAGGGCAAATTCAGCTAGTTGGGGCCAAAGGTCAAGTTTCGTTGCCCAGTAGTCAAGGGGATTGTCTACCTCGGTTGGCAGGGTGCTGTCCAAGTAGGCCCAAGCCTGTTGTTTGAGGTCCTGCTCCAGGTCCACCTGATGCTGCTGCTGCTGCGGCTGGTTAGTAGTTTCCTCACTGCGCTGGTGAAGAAAGCTACTCATCATCGACTGCAGACTGAGGCAGCCGCTGCTGGTGGAGCTGCCACTGCTCCTACCACCCCACCCCTCCCCTGCTGCCATGGCAACGGAACGCGAGCGCACAGGGCCCACAGTGTCTGAGGATGGACGTTGGCGCAGAAAGGCAGAGACCAACTGACTACATAGGTGGTTTTTATAGTACGTTATTTTGGCCTCCCTCTCAGCAGGTGTGAAAAAGGCCACCATTTTTGAACGGTAGCGAGGGTCCAACAAGGTGGACAGCCAAAAGTCATCCCTCTGTCTGATGGTTATTATTCGGCTGTCGCTACGCAAGCAAGCGAGCATGCTATGGGCCATTTGTGCCAAGGAATGCGAGGGGACTCCCTGCCTCCATCTCCACAGCATACTGCCACGGTGCGTCTGGGTCCTCTGTCTCCTCCTCCTCCTCTACCAGATGCTCCTGCTCCTCCACTCCTGTCCGCTGAGTGGAAAAACCACCCATTTCACTCAATAATTCCTGAGCACCAATGTCCTCCTCTACCTCCTCCTCTTCTTCCTGTCCTGCCCCCACAGGGGTCATGTGGCGTTGAGATCTGTGCGCCACGTCTACCGCACCCTGACCAGCCATTGTTAACAGCATTTGTTCCAGGACGTGCAACAGAGGAATGACATCGTTCATCCCATAGTCCTGCCGACTCACGAATAGCGTGGCCTCCTCAAAGGGCCTGAGCAAGTGGCAGGTGTCACGCATGAGTGCCAATGGCTGACATCTAAGTTACACAGGGGAGTACCTTTATCCGCTTGTAACATCAGGAAATCGGTGATGGCCTTTCGCTGTTCGTAAAGCTGCCAGCACCCTATGACAAAATGGAACACACCAGCAGTGTGAGGAGACCTGAAAGTGGCACATGGCAGAGTGTGGCGATGGAGACAGCAGCAATGGGAGGCCGTACAGGGACCCATGAGAGACTCTGGACCTGGCAGCAGCATGAGGAGGCGGTACAGGGACCCATGACAGATTACGGGCCTGGCAGCAGCATGAGGAGGCGGTACAGGGGGCCATGGCAGATTACGGCCTGGCAGCAGCAATGGGAGGCCCGTAATCTGCCAGCACCCTATGACAAAATGGAACCCACCAGCAGTGTGAGGAGACCTGAAAGTGGCACATGGCAGAGTGTGGCGATGGAGACATGGGCCCCCTGGCCACGCTTGACTTTCTGGCCACATAGTCAACATACGGCTACGTTTACTTCCTCGGGCGGCTTGACGAAAAATTGCCACACCGCCGAGTAGGAAACTTTGCCCCCGCTACTCCTCACTGGCTGACTGCTACTTCCTCCGTGCACAGCGGCACCACTACTGGCCATGGTGGTAGGCTGCAGTGGAGCTGGTGCTCTACTCCGTGGCCGTTTGCCTCCACTGACACTGCTGCGACCCTGCTGCCTCCTGGGCAACCCACCGACTGTTTTGCTCGCTGCCAAGCTGGCACCCTCTTCTCCTGATGATGTGGAAGCAATAGCCTGATGACGACGAGGCTGCCAAGTGCGATCAGCCTCATCATCATCAATTAGGGTCTCCGCCTCACTGCTAGCCCCCTCCGCCGCGTGTGGGTCAGGAGACAGACCTGTCTCTAGACCGGCTACCGAGCCACTCTCCTCGCCAGTACTTCTTCGCCTGGCTGCTGAAGAGGCGGATGTCTCCCCCCGTTCCTGACCGCCCTCTGTTAGCTCTTCCTCACTGTACAGTGGGGCTGAGCCCACAGCATGCGATACTTCGCTTGGTGAGGGAACACCAAAGGACAGGGGCAGGTAGAGGACACGTGATTTCAGTGGGCTTGCTCCCGGGCCATGCCAACTAACGGTTGTGTCTGACGTACCCACCAACCGTTGGCTGTAGGTGTCAGAGGTGACCTGGGAAGAGGAAGACGACCGAGCCAACCAATCGATGACGGCAGGGTTGTCGGTGGAGACACGACCGCTGGATGACACCGGGAGCACTGGCCTCTGGCTGCGACTAGTGCTGCCTCGACCCCTTCCTCTGCTGCCACGTCTGCTCGCTCCTAAAACATGGCCTCCTCTGACACTCCTCTGCGTGTTGTCTGACATACTCTTTAATTCAACGATTCTGTGTCCCTGAGTAACAGTTCTGTGTCCCTCAGTAACAATTCTGTGTCCCTCAGTAACAATTCTGTGTCCCTCAGTAACAATTCTGTGTCCCTCAGTAACAATTCTGTGTCTGTCCCTCAGTAACAATTCTGTGTCTGTCCCTGAGTAACAATTCTGTGTCCCTGAGTAACAATTCTGTGTCCCTCAGTAACAATTCTGTGTCCCTCAGTAACAATTCTGTGTCTGTCCCTGAGTAACAATTCTGTGTCCCTCAGTAACAATTCTGTGTCCCTCAGTAACAATTCTGTGTCCCTCAGTAACAATTCTGTGTCTGTGCCTGAGTAGTAACAATTCTGTGTCCCTCAGTAACAATTCTGTGTCCCTCAGTAACAATTCTGTGTCTGTCCCTGAGTAACAGTTCTGTGTCCCTGAGTAACAGTTCTGTGTCCCTGAGTAACAGTTCTGTGTCCCTGAGTAACAGTTCTGTGTCCCTGAGTAACAGTTCTGTGTCCCTGAGTAACAATTCTGTGTCCCTCAGTAACAATTCTGTGTCCCTCAGTAACAATTCTGTGTCTGTCCCTGAGTAACAATTCTGTGTCCCTCAGTAACAATTCTGTGTCCCCTCAGTAACAATTCTGTGTCCCTCAGTAACAATTCTGTGTCTGTCCCTGAGTAACAGTTCTGTGTCCCTGAGTAACAGTTCTGTGTCCCTCAGTAACAATTCTGTGTCCCTCAGTAACAATTCTGTGTCCCTCAGTAACAATTCTGTGTCTGTCCTGAGTAACAATTCTGTGTCTGTCCCTGAGTAACAATTCTGTGTCCCTGAGTAACAGTTCTGTGTCCCTGAGTAACAATTCTGTGTCCCTGAGTAACAGTTCTGTGTCCCTGAGTAACAATTCTGTGTCCCTGAGTAACAATTCTGTGTCCTGAGTAACAATTCTGTGTCCCTCAGTAACAATTCTGTGTCTTTCCCTGAGTAACAATTCTGTGTCCCTCAGTAACAATTCTGTGTCCCTCAGTAACAAGTCTGTGTCCCTCAGTAACAATTCTGTGTCTGTCCCTGAGTAACAATTCTGTGTTCCTGAGTAACAGTTCTGTGTCCCTGAGTAACAATTCTGTGTCCCTCAGTAACAATTCTGTGTCCCTCAGTAACAATTCTGTGTCCCTCAGTAACAATTCTGTGTCTGTCCCTGAGTAACAATTCTGTGTCCCTCAGTAACAATTCTGTGTCCCTCAGTAACAATTCTGTGTCTGTCCCCGAGTAACAATTCTGTGTCCCCGAGTAACAGTTCTGTGTCCCCGAGTAACAATTCTGTGTCCCCGAGTAACAATTCTGTGTCCCTGAGTAACAATTCTGTATCCCTGAGTAACAATTCTGTGTCCCTGAGTAACAATTCTGTGTCCCTCAGTAACAATTCTTTGTCCCTCAGTAACAATTCTGTGTCCCTGAGTAACAATTCTGTGTCCCTGAGTAACAGTTCTGTGTCCCTGAGTAACAGTTCTGTGTCCCTGAGTAACAGTTCTGTGTCCCTGAGTATCAATTCTGTGTCCCTCAGTAACAATTCTGTGTCCCTCAGTAACAATTCTGTGTCCCTCAGTAACAATTCTGTGTCTGTCCCTGAGTAACAATTCTGTGTCCCTGAGTAACAGTTCTGTGTCCCTGAGTAACAATTCTGTGTCCCTGAGTAACAGTTCTGTGTCCCTGAGTAACAATTGTGTCCCTCAGTAACAATTCTGTGTCCCTCAGTAACAATTCTGTGTCCCTCAGTAACAATTCTGTGTCCCTCAGTAACAATTCTGTGTCTGTCCCTGAGTAACAATTCTGTGTCCCTGAGTAACAGTTCTGTGTCCCTGAGTAACAGTTCTGTGTCCCTGAGTAACAGTTCTTTGTCCCTCAGTAACAATTCTGTGTCTGTCCCTGAGTAACAATTCTGTGTCCCTCAGTAACAATTCTGTGTCCCTCAGTAACAATTCTGTGTCCCTCAGTAACAATTCTGTGTCTGTCCTTGAGTAACAGTTCTGTGTCCCTGAGTAACAGTTCTGTGTCCCTGAGTAACAGTTCTGTGTCCCTGAGTATCAATTCTGTGTCCCTCAGTAACAATTCTGTGTCCCTCAGTAACAATTCTGTGTCTGTCCCTGAGTAACAATTCTGTGTCCCTCAGTAACAATTCTGTGTCCCTCAGTAACAATTCTGTGTCTGTCCCTGAGTAACAGTTCTGTGTCCCTGA